CTATCGTCATTTCCAACGATCCCCAACCATTTTCGGTGTCAACGATCCTCCCGACCACCTATCGTCATTTCCACTGATCCCCAACGATTTTGGGTGCCAACGATCCTCCCGACCGCCTATCGTCATTTCTGACGACCCCCTTGAAACGTTTGGTCCTGACCCCCTATAGCCCTTTACAACAATCCCCAATTCGTTTCGGTGTCAACGACCTTCCCGACCACCTGTAGTCTTTTCTAACGATCATCAACGATTTTCACTGATGCGAACGATCCTCCCGACCACACATCGTGATTTCCCACGATCCCCCAACGAGTTTCGGTGCCAACGATCCTCCCGACCCCCTATCGTCATTTCCAACAATCCCATACCATTTCCGGTTCCAACGACCCCGCCGACCACTTATCGTCATTTCCAATGATCCCCAACGATTCTCAGTGCCAACGATCCTCCCGACCACCTATCGTCATTTCCAACGATCCCCAACCATTTTCGGTGTCAACGATCCTCCCGACCACCTATCGTCATTTCCATTGATCCCCAACGATTTTGGGTGCCAACGATCCTCCCGACCGCCTATCGTCATTTCTGACGACCCCCTTGAAACGTTTGGTCCTGACCCCCTATAGCCCTTTACAACAATCCCCAATTCGTTTCGGTGTCAACGACCCTCCCGACCACCTGTAGTCTTTTCTAACGATCATCAACGATTTTCACTGATGCGAACGATCCTCCCGACCACACACCGTGATTTCCAACGATCCCCCAACCATTTTCGGTGCCAACGATCCTCCCGACCACCTTTCGTCGATTCCAACAACCCCCTAAAAACGTTCGGCGCGAACGATCCTCCTGACCCCTTATAGTCTTTCACGACAATCCCATACGAGTTCCGGTACCAACGACCCTCCCGACCACCTATCGTCATTTCCCACGATTCTCAACGATTTTCGGTGCCAACGATGCTCCTGACCACTGATCGTCATTTCCAACGATCCCTGATGGTTTGCGGTACCAACGATCCTCACGATCACCTATCGCCATTTCCACTGATCCCCAACGATTTTGGGTGCCAACGATCCTCCCGACCGCCTATCGTCATTTCTGACGAACCCCT